GGCCAGGCCCCTTCTGGCCTGAGGCAGGGTCGGGGTGCAGCTGTTGACCGCTGGATTGGAGGCGCCCCGAGTGGGGGTGGAATTCGAGGTTCTGCGCTGCGCTCGCTTCTCCTGGGCCCTGAGGGTGAACGCCGGCCCCACGGAGCCCCTTTTCTGCCCCAAAGCCAACCGGGCAGAGGAGAGGCAGGCAGCCCGCGGGGGGCCGGGGGGGGCGCAGCCCCAGGTCCGCCCCAACCAGTGACTCCAGTGCCAGGACCTCGGCTGTGCCCAAGACTGGAACAGGCCCGGCTGGCCGGCGGCTCAGGGCTTGAGCGTCGACCTGTGAACCAGGAGGTGAGGGTTCGATTCCGGGTCAGGGCCCGGGTTGTAGGCTCCATCCCTAGAGGAGGGCGTGCAGCATCAGTGATTCTCTCTCATCACTGATGTTTCTCTCTCTCCTCCTCTCCCTTCCTAAGTTAATAAAGATATTAAATAAATAAATAAGTAAAGCTTAGCTAAAGAGGCTCCCCCACCTCCCTGGCAGGCCCCAGGCCATTGTGCCAGGCACCCTCCTTGTTGGGTGGGGCCCCCAAGAGAGACCCCTGAGGAGAGACCCCTGCGGGGGCGGGGGCTGCGTCGGTCCTATCACGAGTCCGGGGGCCCAGGCCTCATCCTCATCCTCCCCTGAGAGGGGCGCGTGGAGGGGCAGCTCGTGCCGGACCAGCGGGTCCCCCGGCCCCCACACTGCACCCCACCTGCAGGTCCGAGTCCCTGTTCAGGGCGGGACCCGGGCTGGCGGGTGCCTCATCCTCTCTGGGTGGGCTGGCCGTCACCCCACACGTTATCTGCTGCCCGCTTCCTGTCCCGCTCCCAGCGCCCCCGTGAGTCACGCCCGCGATAGCGTGGCAGCAAGAGTGACGCTCTGGGATGCAGCCAGGGCCTCCTCCCAGCTCCCCACACCCCACGGACCTCCCGTCCCCATGGCAACGCCTGGGAGGTCCTGAGGGTGGGACCCCAGCTCGCTCTCGCTCTCGCTCTCTGACTTCAAGAGCTTATCAGACCTGGGAGGGGGGCTGGCACGACCCAGGCACAGGGTGGGCAGCCCCAGGCACCCAGGGAACAAAGCCTGCTTGGGCCCCGCCCTGGGCCAGGGTTTCCTCACGTGTGCCACCCCCCCCACTCCCTGCACAGCCCCAAACTGTGAGTCCCCTGCCCGTACGACCCTCTTCCTGCGGGGACTTTCAGACCCCTTTTCCGGATGAGGAAACTGAGGCTCAGAGAGCCAGCGGCTCGTCCCAGCGGGGCCTCCCCTGCACGCCCCTCCCTGAGCGGGAAGCACCCAAGAGCGGGGACAGAGCCGCTGCCAGGCTGCGTTGGGGACCCTGTGCCCCTACCCCGCCACGGCCCCCACTGGGCTCAGGAGATCACAGGGCGGACCCTGAGTTTCGAGTCTAGGCCAGGACCCAGGCCAAGGGAGTGTGAGGGACACAGGCCTGTCCCTGTCACACCCCAGAGGCAGGGAGGCCACAGGTCAACCAGTCACAGGCCTGAGCCCAGGCCACAACCCCTGACCCACCTGACTCACCGGCCTGGCCCTCAGAAGGCCATGCCGTGCACGTCCGAGGCCGAGCTGACCCGCCCGGCAGCGGGCACGGCCGGCCGCCCGGAGCTCGCACCCGAACTTGCACGCTCATAAGATGCCGGCCTGGCCGCGCTGGGCTTCCCCCTGGAGCCCCCCTCGAACCACCTGACGCGGGCCACCAGGCCACCCGCCTGGCCCCTGAGACTCTAACCCAGATGGACACCTCGGGGCCCAGGCCAGGGCTGCTCAACCTGAGGGTCCCCAGCTCCCGAGGGGCTGCGGGGAGGGCGGGGTCAGGCCCTGGTTCCCACGTCCCCTTCTAAGGACAAGCAGACCCGCCCGCCTGCCCCGACCCCTCCGCCCGGCTCAGCACCAGGTGACAGGTGTCCGGCTGCGAGGCCGGGCCGGGTTCCCGCCTGTGCTGCAGCGGGGGGACGTCGGGTCCCACGCCCCCCATCCTGCCGTCACCCCCTCTCCTGTGCGATCCCTCACCAACCCACTCACTCGCTCGCTCATCGTCCCCCAGGCGCCTGCGACAGGGGAGGAGTTAGTTCTCTCTCCCAGGCGCCAGGGCTGAGCCAGGGCTCGGACCCTGAGCACCAGGTGACCGGGAGCCTGGGCAGGTCCTGAGCGTGGCCGCCGGTTCTCAGAGCAGCTCTGAGCCCCTCGGGTCCCAGACCCCAGCCCAGCCGCCCCCACTCCCTGAGCTGCCTCCCCCACTCCGGGGGAGCCGGGTGTCCACACGCTGGGGCCTGGGGCTGGGGGTCCACACACTCTGGTGCCGTTTCTGCCAGAACCACCAGGGCTGAGACCTGGGGGACGGTGCCTGGCCAGGCGGCATCGCCACACAGCCGGGCACAGACACCCCTGTCCTCACAGCTACAGGCCACCGGGAATCCAGCTGCCCCCTGCCCGCTGTCTGCCGGGCGAGGAGCTGAAGCACAACAGGGAGCCGGCGGCAGAGGGCTGGGCTGCGCAGGTGGGTGGTGGGGAGGAGGGGCCTGTCCTGGGGAGCAGCCCCCCAAGCCCCTCTCCAGGGAGCACAAGGCTGGCCTGGTGAGGAGACCCGTGGCCTCTGGCTGCATGAGCACGCGTCAGAGATCCCCGGGGCGGGGGCCCAGCAGCATTTTCAAGATAATTTCCTTGAGGGTTAAATTTGTTCAACTGAGGTTTTAATTTTATAGATGTATTAACTTTAGTTATATATATATATGTATAGATATATAAACACATCTTCAAGACACTACATTATATCAATTCATATATAACAAAATCAAAGCAAAAAATCATGAGGGAAGTGAAGTTTTGGAAACATAGTCACAGTCAGGTTTACGCTTAAGCAAACATAACAGTGTCATGATAATGAAAACTATTCAATAAATTCTGTGAGTTCATAGTCCACAATTGGAGATGCACTTTAAAAACACCCTATTATGAAACCTTCAAGCTTACTTAAGAGCAAAATAAAACCGAACTAGGATGTAGAGCTTCCTGAACCCCATTGTCGTTGTCCAAGGATCATTATTGGTGTCTCCCCAGGATGAGAGGGTTGACTTTGCAGAACACAGTTTGGGAAATTCTACCTGAAAATATTAACATCCTCCTTCCTGCGCCCTCCGCTCCGTGGCCGGCACCCCCTGCAGGGTCAGCTCCTTCCTTCTTTCGGCCCCTAACCTGCCCCGTTTTCCTGGGGAGCCTGGTGCCTCCTGACCAGCTGTCGGGACCCTGGGTTTACTGACGGGCCCTCAGAGGCCGCGCCCCGGGCGCTGCTGGGCACGGTGTCTGCCGTGTGGACACGCACTGTGAACGAGGGAATAGCGAGTGGATGCCCTGGAGATCCCAGGTCTGGCTGGGGGACCCCCAGCTGGTGGACTCAGCTGAGGGGTGCTCCTGGAGGGCCAGGCGGCTGGCCCAGAGCCCCGCAGGCGGCCCTCCCTCC